TAGTAACTTTTTCTTTGTCTTTCTTTTTTGTAGTTGTTGGAATAGTTGGCATTTGTGGAGTTGTTGGAGTGGTTGGAGTAGTTGGCTGACTTGTCCACTTGAGTTTGTCTCCAGTTGTTAGAAATCTTATCACGTTTGCTTGGTCTCCAAATTCTTGATTGAATCATGTCCACCATTTAATTTTGAATTCTCTGACGAATGACATTGGAACTGATTTTTCTAACTCTTGATGAATTTTAAAACTCCAGCAAAAAATCCATGGTACTTTGAATTTCACATGAAATAATATTGGCCTTGTATACTCTTCCCCCTCTGCTTTTTTGAGATACGTCTGGAATCCCATTAATACATTTGGAGGTAGTATTTCCTTTTGAGGTCCGACCCATTACCACCAATGATTAAACCAAATTGGAAATTCTCTGTTACAATTCTCTTTGAATGTGAAGAACCATGAATGGTTGAATGGTCTGTATAGAAACGCACGATACCATGCCATCTTGTAATCTTGATATGTAAATCCATCTGGAATGAATCTAACTGAAAATGATTTTTTGGAATAAAGAGAAGTCCATCCGTTAGGTAAACAAACTTTCTTTATTATACACTTTGAATGACTAATAATATTTGGATTCTTTTTATCTGGAATGGGAAATATTTCTACAGATTGAGTATCTTTAAGAATTAATTCATAATAATCCAAATTTTTTGAAGGATCATCAGGCTGCCAAAAACATTTTTGAGGAAAGATTCTTTGAGTAAACTGATTGAGTGTAGAATACAAAGGTATTTCTTGGAATCTGGTTATTGTAATATGCTGATGGAATGGTTTAGTAAAGTAGGTATTTTCATTGGATTTTTCTGAAATTTTTGGAATTTGTTGGATTGATCTTATTTGAGAGGAAATTAGTGTGCGAGTAGCTTGACTGTAAGTCAAAACTGAAAAATCTTGTAGTATTTGAAATTTATTTTGAGTTACAGGAGTAAGACTCATCTCATAATCTTGAGAAGTCTTAAGTCTAGAGTTTCCTGCTTTTGAATCCATATTCCTGCAAAATCAGTAAATAATATCTTTTAATTGGTTAGATAGTTGTTTATTTTGATCCTTGTAATGTTGAAGAATTTCCTCATTTCTTCCAACTCTCCGAAGAACTTGAATTCTAATCAGGTTTCTCTGAATTTTTCTCTGTATGAGAAAAGCTTTCTCTTTTGGAGTAAGAGTTGTGAAATGGCTTTGCTGAATATATACTGTATCATATTTTGGAATTTGATAGACTGGAATCCTTTGTCGTCCATCACTAGTCTGAATGAAATATTGATATCCTCTGGATTGTAAAACTGCTTCTTTGTTTAGTAATCTAGGAGAATCTCTTTGGGTTCTCAGATAATTTGTAAATTCACGATCAGTTCTTTGAGCAATAAGGTCACGATCCATGTCCTTGTAAAAATTCTCTAGTAAAAAAATCTGGTAATGAATTATTTTCTCCTTTAATAAATTCAATTTCAAAATCGAAAACAGATAAAATGGCTTGCCATCTTGCAAATATTTGTTTTGAAACTATGTTTTGAATATCCTTTTGTAAAATCTCTTTAGCAGATTTACAATCTATTCTAATTAAAAATTTCTTATTATATAAATCATCTTGAAATTTTGATATGCATAAAACTATTGATAAAATTTCTTTTTTAATTGTTGAATAATTCTTTTGAGGGTCAGACCATGTTCCTGAATGAAATCTAACTAATTCTTCTTTTGACTCTATTATCTTTTGTTTTAATATTCCACCATATCCTAATTCTGATGCATCTGTTTCAACTATCATAAATGCTTTAGGATGAGATAGACATAAACATGGTAATGACTCTATTTTTGCTTTTAGATATTTTATCTTTTGAGTATGTTCATCTGTCCAAGGTTTTGGATTTTTCTTTAATCTATTGAATAATATAGAACATTCTTTTCTTAAATTAGGAAAGAAATCTGCTATATAATTTAGACATCCTAAAAACCTTTGTAATTGATTTTTATCTTTTATTTCATCTGAAAATTTAGTTGCAAATTCCAAAGCTCTACTAATTGGTTTTATTGTTCCTTGATATATATTATGTCCTAAAAATCTTATTTTAGTTTGAAATAATTTCATTTTTGGAGCAGAAACCACTAATCCATTTTTCTTAACTATTTTTAAAAATATATTCAAATGTTTAAAATATTGTTCTATTGATTCAGAAAATATTAATACATCATCTATATAAACAATATTGAATGAACTATAAGGATTAAAAATATCATTCATTATATTTTGAAATTCTGATGGTGTATTTTTTAATCCAAATGGCATGACTTTCTATTCATAATGGCCAAAAGGTGTTGTAAATGCTGTTTTATATCTATCTTTTGGTGATATTAATATTTGCCAATATCCTGATTTTAAATCAAATTTTGAAAATATTTTTGCATTAAATAATCTATTGAGCAAATCTTTTTTATTAGGAATGGGATATCTAATCCATTGTAAAACTTTGTTTAAGGGTTTATAATTTATAACTAATCTTGGAACTCCTCTTTCTTTTTCAACTTGATTCATTACATAAAATGCAGCACAACTCCAGGGTGATTTTGAAGGTGTTATTAATCCTTTATCTATTAATATTTTTATTTCTTTTTTACAAAATTCTAATAACTCAGATACTATTAAACTACATAGAACCTATGTAAATACTCATAGCCAAACAAAGTAAACGAGAGATGGAAGACAAAAGGCGAAAGAAAAAATTCTTCGAACCCAAAAATAGTAGACAAAATTTTAAGACAATTTTTGTTTCACTCAGTTTATAAACCAAAAGATAGAGCTAAAACAATAGAAAAGAAAATCAAAGATTAAAAATGGACCAAAATTAATCCAGCTTTGTCGTGAACTAAATAATTAAACAATTCCAAACCGGTAACTTATCACTTGAATCTAAGTTCACATAAGTAGTCAAAATCCAAATATTACCTTAGAGGCAGTTCAGAAGATAGTGTTCATTTCGGGACTTGAATGAAGAACAAAAGAAGGAAATAGTGCATGCGTTCCTATAGAAGACGGCATCGTCTTTCGAAGAAATGCGAGAATGATACTGCAACTACTTCTACTTTTCTCGTCAATTAAATCCAAACAATTTCTTGCTATTGAATGAAACATGCTTTTAAATCAATCTGCACAATGATTAGTAATCATTCAACAAGCAATCAACCAATAAATTCTAATTTTTGATAGAGAGATAGAGAGATTAGTGTTGTAGATATGCATAGATTAGGGTTGATGATAGGAAATTCATAACAAAGGCATTGAGTTGTTAAGAGAGGAATTGAATTCAAAATAGTAGTAATTCATAGATTAGGTTTTTGGATGGTAGAGAGAAAAGGAAGAAACTTCTTAGATTTGGGGAAGACGGAAACGAATGGGAATATTTTCTCAAATAAAGACCTTTTGATTTAAAATGATACAATTGATCAAGGAGTTTTCAATATATGGTAAGAAAAAAATAAAAAATAAAGGGTACAAATTTTTGGGTGAGTCTTTTTTGCTTTTTGCTTTAAAAAATGACGTGATTTCAGCCATCTAATTGTCAACATTTACTAATGTGCCACAACCTCACCAAAATAAACCCAATATATGGTGAAATCTGGGCGAAATTGGAGTTACGCTGCTGATTTGGGGCAGAATCACTATGTGCCTCATCAAAAGTGCCGCAACTGACCATATTTGTTATAGTGGATAATTCAAGCGGTAACAAATTGATTACTGATATTTATCAAGATTATAATGTTGCTATTTTTTAGTCTATAGGTTTTGATGGTTATGACAAATTTTATGAATAAACATGTAGAATTTTATATTTTTTATATAGGTTAAAATATCGTAGACGGGTGCTCCACTTTGAACTTATGAAAAGTATATTTAGATACATCAAAGAAATCATCAGCTTCCATAAAAGGGCAAAAGAATAAATTCATTGCAAGGCTAATTATTAGAGTAAAGTTTCTTACAAAAGTCTTGTCCGAAATAAGGTCCAAAGATTGTAATTCAAAATCTGCAACAAAAGTGGCGAGGAGAAGTGTTAAGATATGCCAATCATCCTATAGATTTTATTAGGTTCTATTTAGCATTAGAATAATTTAGTTAGTAGTTAAATAAATCTTGTTATTATGATATTTATTAACCAAAGATTGTGTTAATTTGTTAACAAATATTTTAGTTAAGATTTGCTGAGTAGGAGATTATTATTATTATTATTTTTTTAAAGAAGAGTCAAACAGATACCAACGTGAATTTTAACACTGGACCTACAACTTATGGATTACCATTCCTCAGAAAAAACATCAAAACAGATACCAACGCAAATTTGAACACTGGACCTACAACTTATGGATTAGCTCGCCCGCCTTCTAAAAAACCCAAGAATAAAACAGGTGGAAAACAAATTCTATAGAATCTTCTTTGTGAAAGTTTAGCCTATGATAATTCTGCATCTTTAGAACACAGTAGAGAAGCACTAAAAGTGTTCTTATTGGTGTCATGGTGGCGTGGTGTTACATGGAGTCTTTCATATATAATTACTGCAGTTATTATTTCTCTGATAATTGATTCTGGCAATGAACTAAAACTTTTAGGAGCCCAACTTAATTCATCATTCAAATCAATTGACCTATTCTTTTATCATTGCTAGTTGCTCTTTTTATTATTTTAGAATCGTGTAAGCATGACTTCTGTGTCTCTTTTGCCATTCCAGTTCTTTTTAGATGTATTGGAGAATAGGAGTATCATTAAACTCAAGTAATGGTACAACTTTGGGGATCACCTTAAATGGTCTAGCTTTAATACAGTAATGCAGTGATCATGAGAACTCGAGTCTCTCACATAAAGATGTAGTTATATCATTAAAATGTATGCTAATTTTTTATAATTAACATTTGTGATTGTTAAAATTTCATAACTAGGATTTATGATTGCTGAAGCTGCTGTCTTTATTTTGCATAGGGAATGCTGATAGAATCAACATTAAAATTTCAAGGGTTGGTACCCCTGATTGTTTCCTTTGTCGACCGTTTATTGGGATGTTACAAACACCGCTGGCTGGGCGAGTGGCTGCTGGAGACATTCAATGAATCTTTCATCCCAAAACTTAATATAGACTATAAATTAGGATCTTACTTCCCCATTTTGGAAAGAATTTCGGCGAATGAGAGAGTTTCTCCGACGGGGTTGTTAGAGCTTCTTGCCAACTATATGGTTGTCCTGATTAAGAAACATGGTCCAGATACAGGGTTGAAATCATGGTGTCAGGGGAGCAAAATTCTGGGCATTTGTCGGACTATGATGATTCATCACCACAGTTCCAGTTTGTTTCTTGGACTTTCTCGTCTCCTTGCATTCGCTTGCCTTTATTTTCCTGATCTGGAGGTTCGTGACCATGCAAGGTACAATAAAGACCTCTTTTTAGTCCTTTCTGAATTTCAAAATATATTCAGCTTTTTTATATCAGGTTTACCTTAAAAAAAAATGAATTTGTTCATTTCTAGTTTTGTACATTGGATGAATCCCTTTCCTAGTGGAGAATGATATAAGATGGTATACTGCAAATGACTTTGGAAAGGAAGAAGTGGTGAAATTTGGAAATAGGATAATTGCATATGCTTTACGTAATTAGGCTCCCAATGATTTGTTGGCTCTTTATAGGACCTACCTGCGGATGCTGGTTTGCATTCCAGGAAAGAAGCTTCGCGACTTGCTGAACATTGGGGAGCAACTTCCTGGAATTTCACCATCTACCAATTCTAGTTCATTTTTCAATCTTCAGTCTCCTCGCTATCATGACCCGAAGAAATCTCGGAATATTTCATCCTACATTCATCTTGAGCGCACTGTGCCACTTTTAGTTAGACAATCATGGTCCTTGTCATTGCCAGTGCTCAGATTAGATGATGATAAGCAGTCACTGGAAAGCTTCAAGGATAACAAAACTACAGGTGAGCCAAAGGAGCTTGACAGAAGTAGTAGTAGTATCGAGATTGTTTCTGATATTAACAGAATTAGCCAGCTTCAGGAGCCACTACGTGTGATGGACTCAAAAGTTTCAGAAATGGTGGGGATTTTAAGAAAGCATTTTGCATCAATTCCTGATTTTAGACACTTCCCAGGACTCAAGATCAAAATACCTTGTGTTTTGAGCTTTGACTCAGAGTTGTTTAATCACTCGGTAGGGACCAGCCTACCCAGTGATAGCTGTGGAATAGATTCACTTCCAGCCATATACGCCACAGTGCTCAAATTTTCGTCTTCTGCACCGTATGGCAATATTCCATCATATCACATTCCTTTTCTTCTTGGCCAACCTGTCAAAAAGGATTACTCTTTCAGCGAAACTAATTCACTAGATATCGTTCCTGTTGGAAATGGTTCTGCCGAGGAAAAAAGGTTTAAAGCTCATGTAATGATTGAATTAGAGCCCCGGGAACCACAACCTGGTGTCATCAATGTACATATTCAAACAAATGCGGACAATAGTGAGATCATTCAAGGACAGCTTCACAGTATCAATGTGGGAATTGAAGATATGTTTCTCAAAGCTATTGTTCCAGAAGATGTCCCAACAGAAGCAGTGCCTAACTATTGTCTGGACCTGTTCAACGCCTTATGGGAAGCATGTGGCACATCATCTAGCACCGGGCGAGAAACCTTTGTCTTGAAAGGAGGCAAAGGGGTTGCTGCAATCAGCGGAACACAATCAGTGAAGCTGCTTGAGGTACCTTTCATGTCTTTGATTCAAGCTGTCCAGCGGTGCTTGGCATCATTTGTTGTTAGTGTAACTGGCGAACCTCTTATTAATATCGTGAAAGGTGGTGAAATAATAAGAGAGGTAGTATGGAAGGATTCTGATTCAGATTCATTATCTGAAGCTCCGAACCCAGATGCGAGGTTGGATGGAGGTCCTCTTTATATCCAGTACATGGATGACGAAAATGAGAAAGGGCCTCACCTACAAATTTCCAAAAAGAACATGGGATGCTTCCTCGTATTGATATTTCTTCCTCCAAGATTCCATCTCCTCTTCAAAATGGAAGTATGTGATGTTTCTACTTTAGTTCGGGTTAGAACTGATCATTGGCCATGTCTAGCTTATGTCGACGAGCTTTTGGAAGCCTTATTTGTTGAGTGAAACTTTTCCTTACGTTTAAATTTAGTGTTTTCTGTTAGGAAATTTTCCGCAATAGAAGGGCTCAGTATTATTCCTTCGAGTTGTTCTGTATAAAGTATATTTGTAAATGCTTTTATGTATAGTACTCACCTAATTTCTGTAAAGCGGTGTGGTTTCTTATTCGCTCTTAAAACTAGAATGACAAGTAGTTTCCTGTCCATTCTTGATGGAAAAGAATTATGGGTGGAAAAGATTTTCCTTCCTGTGCCATTCTTGCGTATTATTGGGGTGGAGTTTTTAGCTAAAATAGCACTCTTTCTAAAAAATATTCCCAATGTGATTCAATTTCAAATTTTATTCTCATAATGAATGTTATTGTTGCCTATTGCCATATAGCATAATATAAGAAAGGAAAGCTTTGTCTAGTCAATAGTTTCTAACATGAACTAAAAATTTTGAGTTTTTATTATAGAGGCACAAGAGATCGCATAACTTTGATAATTTTCTTATAATTATTTAAAATAAATGCTACAATTATTGATCTTACTATTATTGGTTTTTGAATGTTTTTTGAAATATATCAAACCTATTGTATATAATTTTTAAAAAATAAATTAGAAATAATTGCAATGAAAATTGTAAGCAATAACAAGAAAAAATTACAAAAACTTCAAGGCTATCATATTTGTTTATGTTATCCTTCCTACTCCTTGAAAAGAATTTTTACAAGAAGTAATCAAACTAAAATTTTCAAGATTTCAATTGCAAATTGAAAATTATCAGATTATTATATAAGTAATCAACCAGTATAAAAGGCAATGTCATTCTACTACTTCAAAAAAGTCATGTTGTAAAGGGAAAAAAGACAAAAATAAGCTTTTTATTAAACTTTAAAAATGCAATAAAGTTCTCAACATCCATATCTTACGCAAAGAACTAAAAAACAAAATATTCTGAACTAAAAAAACTTAGTTATAGTATAATTACAATGAATTTTCAATCGAAAAATGTGTCTCTTAATCATTACCAATTGCAAGCAAATTTAAATATTTGAACCAACACTCTTGAAGCTGCTTAAGTGTTAGCAAAGAGGGAATGAATACAAGAATGTCATTAGGCAATGCACTGATCCTATATTTAGGCACTTCAATAATGCTAAGTTCAAACACTTCATTGATCCTATTTCCAGAATGGTAAGCTCTATTTAAGCACTGCAAATCACATGTGGGGAATGGGGAAAACAAAAAAGTATCACAAGTTAGAAGTAAAATAATAGAAAACTAAAATCCAAAAAACATGTTTGCATGCATTATGCTTAAATTGTAGGTTTAGAGTCTAGAGAGATGATAACATCAGAAGGATAAACATATGGCAACTCTACAAAGCTAAAGAATCTTTATACTTAACTAAGAGTAAAATGACAACAAAATTACCTCCACAAAGTTTGGAACAACAGAATGCAAAGGCAAGGACCATTTTTTATTTTCCTTCTCTAGTTCCAAACGAATATTTTCCTGCATTGTTCATAATGTTTTAACTTTATCTTTTTTTCCCCTGCAACTGTTACTTTTTTTTCCTACATTGTTCATAAGTTGCTCAAAAATAACACAAGCCACCAATTGATGTTGAATAAATGTGCAAAATTATTTCAAGTATATGAGATTATTTGATCATGTGATAGAGAGGCACTACAAATGAACACACTCATATATGTGATAGAAATCCAACATACTGAGCATAAATCTATATTGTTATGTAGTTTTCCTCCTAGACATTTTATCAAACAAATGGGGTGAGAAATCATTTGTTAGACAATTACTATTCAAAATTTTTTGAAGGCCATAGCAATGTTCCAAAAACTGCATAATAGAAAAGACAAGAGAATAATCTTCGTTTATCTTGAAATTATCAATTCAAAAAGAATATTTTCATCCACCGAAACAATGTCAAGAATGATAATGAAGTTTTAGATGATGTTAATATAAATATTGACTTCTCAAAATTACGTTTGACAAGGAAAAGATAATTAAAGGAAAAAAAGGTGTGAAGATTCAAAGAGATAATCAGGGAAGATATTAGATGGGAAAGAAAAATGAGGTATACCTCTATCTCTATCTTGGCACATGTGCAACTTATGTGACCAAAAAAGGATCATAATGGTAATAAATTTTAAAATTAAGTTATTTTGGGTATATGATTTGGAAGGAGAGTTATTTTGGCAATAAACTCTATTGAGGTAACTATTAAAAGAGTGGGTTTCCTTTTTTTTTTTTTAGATAACTCTTATTTTAGAAACTTTCTTACTCACACATAAGTTGTTGAAATTTAATTTATTTCTTAAATCAAACTATAAGTGATACATACCTATTATTCAAGTTTCTATTTGAATTTATTTGAACTCTTAATGTCTTTGAACCATTATGCTTGTATACCTATTGGCAACAATCGTAGACATAACTCTTAATAATAAAGTGTTAGACAAATTAAACATTTTTAATATATCATTAATTTAACTTATCAATTGTACATGTTGGCACAATAAGTGTAGACATAACTCTTAATAATAAAGAGCAAGCAAATTAAACATTTTTAATATATCATTAATTCAACTTATTAATTAACTCGTACTAATAGATTAAAATTGACATCTAAGAATGTATCATGAGCACTTAAGCAATAGGAGAAGTCAAGTAGATGATCAAAAAAAAAAAAAAGAAGTCAAGTAGACGATTTCACATTGTTATACGTGTATCCCACATGACTAATATCCCTCAATATACTTATCTTACATTAGTTTACAGGATGCATTGAGTACTAACTCTAATGTGACTACTAATGTTCCTTACTACCAAAATATATTTATAGATCTAGTCATACAACCGGTAGAACAACTAGCTACGAGGAGAGAGGGGGTGACGGGGAAAGAGGGAAGGAGGAGGAAGGGGGAGAGGAAAGGATGAGGAAGAGAGGGAGAAGAAGGGGAAAGAGGGAGGAGGGGAGCGATGAGGAAGGAGAAAAAAAAAGAGGCAGCGGAGGGTGTGGCAATAGGAGGAAGGGGGTGGCAGTGATAGGGAGGAACAAGGGTGGAAGATGAATAGAGGAAAGAAAGAAAAAAAAAGAAAAAGAAAAATATGAAAGTTTTTCAACCATTCTTCAAATATACAAATACACAAAAGTCTTTGTAAAAATTCTATAGTAAATTATAGCAAAATTTTGGGTTATTATCACTTTACCCCCTTAACGTTTGGTACTACTATCAATTTTTTCCTTAACATTATCTTTTAGTCACTTTACTCCCAAAACTAATGGTCAAACTTAACGGAGTTTGTTAATTAAAGTGAAAAGACATGTTTAACTCTTAAAATTATTGTCGCTTTACCCCCATAAAAAATAGTCTCATTATCAATTTACCCTCTATAATTATTTTTTAGACAATTTATCCTACCATTGAACCAATTTAGCAAGTTAAAAAACTTTATAAGAAAAATACCCTACTCTTTGCATAATAAAAATAATAAAAGAATTTAAAATGACTCTTCTCCTTTTTAGTATTAAGAAAAAAAAGTGAAAATATTAATTACTTTATTCTTGGCAATCTTATTAATATTGAGAAAAAATAGAAAGATGGAGAGGGGGAGGGGGAGAGATCTCAATTCTTTTTTTAAAAATTACAAATAAAAAAGAATTAAAATTTTTTATTATTTTAAAATTATTTCACTTTTTTGTTTACCACCAAATTCCAATCCTAATCTCGACAACCTTAAAGTAATACGATAATGTTAGACTTTTCTTTATTTTCTTTTTTTTGGTAAAATCTAATTTTTTGTCTCGTTCTTTCCTATCTATTTTTTCTTTTCCTAGTATTAATAAATGGGAAAAAAATTTGAGAAAACCCTTTTATTTTTATGTTTTCAATCTCTTAAAGTGAAAAAAAGGAAGAATAACCATTCCAACTTTTTTTTATGTTTAATTATATATAAAAAAAGGATAAATATATTTAAAATTTTTTGACGATACTAGTTAGATTAACGATGAGGTAAAATGCCTATAAAATAATGTTAGGAACTAAAGTGATTATATCACTATAATCTAAACGAATAAAGTAACAATAACAATGTAGTAATGCTATAAAATAAAAGGGTATTTTTGTCCAAAATTTCTTAACATGTTGAGTTGAATTACTTATGAGGGTAAAGTGACTAAAAGATAACATTAGGGGGTAAACTGATAGTAGTGATATAGTTTAAGAGAATAAAGTGACAATAACCCTAAAATTTTAGACAAACTTTCCAAATGGACCCTATTAGAAGGCTTAAATACATATTGTCACCATGTAATTAGAGATTGGTTTCAATTCACTCCATGCATTCATGAACTAGACAAAATACACCCCGTGAAGTGCAATTCATGTTTGCCTTTTGTTTATTTTTTTTTAAAAGTGATTGACCTTAGATTTTAACAGTTTAAATATGAAAACAAATTTATCCTTGCAAGTAGAGGGAGCCAACAAATCCATTTTAGGTAGTCCAGTGCTTATTTGTACGTATATGAAAGAAACAGCCTCCTATTCCTCCTTCTTCAACTGAAAAATAATTCATCCAAAAATTTTAGTGGCATCAAAATTAATTGAACGAAAGTAAATTACACTTGAAATATTTCACACTCAAGATATAGTAAAAGAAGTAAATAAATAATATTTCTATCATTAGGAAATAAGATGGCGTATCATATAATGCTTTCAAACATTAGATGATGTGCACCAGTTCCATTTCCAAATAAAAAATAGCAGTAATTTCATATTAAACCACAATTTAGGAGTTAAGCAAATAGCTCATCAAATTTCTTAGCATAACAAAACTAATTCTAAACATCAACATATTTGAATTCTAGCTAAACAAATTATAATTGCTTCATATTTGTGAAGTTTTAAATGGCATGCTAATTTATCTATTGGAACCAAAATGTTAAAATCATCAAAAATTAAAATATTTTAATGATGTAATTGTCTTTTCATAACTAAAAAAAAGGGTAGAACTTAGTTTATGCCAAATAGAGATTGTATTTCGGTGGTATTTTAATTATTTCATGAACATGAGGTGAATTGACACCTATCTCTATTTACGGGGTACAAGAAGTATTTAACCCATTCTAGAATTACAAGACTTGGAATTTTATAATTTTTAGAAGTTTTGAAAAATCTTAAGATTTTGAGAAATTTGTTTTGACTCCCACGT